TTGATCTTTGAATTGTTGTCCTGTCGTTTTCTTGCATGTACTGTAACACTGAAGCATATTCTGGATTTGTATCTCAAACTGTTTCTAAAGCACATTCAGTATCTTCAACATTTGTAGATAAATATTTGATCATGTAAGTTCGGATTGACTTAGACTTGATGAGCATTTTAGTTAAATTAGAACAAACGCAAAGCAGATCTATTGCTCTATGACCATTTTAATCTTGTTTTTATTTTCTTTATAGAAACGCTACACTGCATGAGGAAATAATTGCATTGTGCATGTTTAGGCCAAATTCTACTCTGATTTTTACCTTTTTTTCATCTAAGTGGAGTTGTGAACAGGAATAGAATGTGGTGCAGAGAATTGTAATGTGTATGGTATAGTTATTAATATCCTCGGCGAGCCCTGCTCACCAGCCGTGCTGTCCAGCGATCTGCACATATGCAGATCATCCGAACTCGGCTCTTCTGGGTTGCAATCTAGTTGCCACGGGCGAGTAGGTTGCTTTATTTGTCGAGCCCTGCTCATCTGTGATGCTTACCAAAGAGATTGGACTATTAGCTTTCAAACCTTTGGGCAGGGGTACTTTTTAATGTATAATCCCTGTTCTGACTGGTTAATTGGATGCTAGTTAAATATGTTCATTTAAAACAAAACACATGGGCCCCCCTCGCCCTTCCAAAAAAGAAACCTGCCTGAACCTACTAACAACCAAATGTAGGACATTCATGCAGTCTATGGGATAATGTCAGAAGATTTGAGTATAGCGGGGTTCATGTTCTTCAGATTAAATAGCTTTTTTTCTGTAATTTCAGCATTCTGAATGTGTAAATAAAATCTATTAAATAACTCCCTAGTTCTTTGTGATCTTAAAGGGCTTGAACCCTTTTCCTGTTTAACTCAGTGTCATAACTCCTAATCATTCAAATGACCCAAAACCGGACAGCTGATGAGTACTATGTTGTCCCAAGGGTTGGCAACCTTTTAAAAGTGGTGTGCCAAGTGTTAACTTACTCACGGATCTGTATGCTGGAGGGGCAGAGGCGGGGAGCAGGGGAGGCTGGGTATGGTGATCATATTTTCTAGCTAGCTGCAGCTAAGGAGAAACAGTTTAATTTAAATTATTAAACAGATTAAGCATTTTAATTTTCTCATGTTAGTTTATCAAACTTAATTTGAAATGAATACAATATGTCCAACACAAAAGATTTCAATGTTTTCTTTATTTATGGCAGGGGTGGGGATCCTTTTTTGGATCGGGGGATCACTGACCCACAGAAAAATCAGTTGGGGACCACCCAAGTGAGAAGCAAAGAAGCTCCTCCAAAACCCCCCAACCCTCACTGATGTGGTCCCCAACTGAGTCACATCATTCCCCAACTGAGACGCCTCATTCCTCTGACGCTCCAGCATCATGGGGTGAGGGGAAGGGACAGGGAGGACTGATGTTCAGGGTTTCCCATAGGACAGACTTATTTTTCTGGGGTGCTGGAGTTACTGGATTTTATGGACTCCCTTAGGCTATGGGGTAGTGACAAAAATGAGGGGTTCAATGTGCGAGAAAAGGTTGCTAGGAAGTGGGATAGGGATGGGGGTGCAGGATCTGGGTGGGAGGAGGGGTGCAGAAGGGGGAGAGGTAGGGTGAAAAAGCAGGCTGGGAGTAGGGTGTCTGGCCAGGTGGAGGGAGCAGGAGCAGGGCAGGGGTAGGTGGCTGGCGAGGAGGGAGGGTGCAGGAACAAGGGAGGGTGTCAGAGAAAGCTGGGGGGGTGTGGGGTCATGGCGGGAGGGAGGAGAGTAAGTGAGGGGACATGGTGGGGGGGGGTCTAGGCATAAGGCGGGATGTTTTCTTGGCTTCGCGTCCCCTTGCTGGCACTGCTGCGGCCATGCTGTCCCAGGCCAGTCCCAGAGGTGCCGCTGAGGAGCCTCAGCCTCGGTGCTGCCTCCTCCCACTGCAGTCCCTGAAAATAGGCTCACGTGCCATTTATGGCATGTGTGCTGTAGGTTGCTTATCCCTGTAGTAGGCAATGTGTAAATTGTCTGCACTGGGAAGACTAAGAGTGAGAAATCACATGGTCTCTCAGATTACACAACAGTAAATGTTTCGTGCTTTGAGAGTCAAGTCTTAGTTTCCTGACATCAGTGGGAGTTTTCCTGTTAAGACCCATATTGTTTCTGTAAAGATTAAGAGTTCTGTAACATCGTGCCTGGAGGAATGATTATATAATTCTTTCTCGTGGACTCATAACACAACCTTAAGCTTATTACAGCCCAAAAGAATGAACATCTTGCAATTTAGAGGCCATGAGAAGCTAACTGGTTTTGCAAAATGCAGCCTTTGAGCGGGAGAGGCACCAAACATTAAACAGTGGATTATAATTTTAGTCTAATTATTTCCGTAGTTACAAGTTTACATCCCCCCCACATGCTCATTTAGCTTTTAATAGACTATATTCCTGATGCATCTGGTTTGCTTTTAGGAAGCATTAGGAGATGTCGTTTATTGTAGTCTTCCAGAAATTGGGACAAAGTTGAACAAACAGGGTAAGTATTTTAATTTTAAGTTGTTAAGCTATTGCTATAACAATTCTTAGATTTTTTTTAAAAATCTAAATTAACATTATTATTTCACTTCTCCAATTCTTGTTGTTTCTCATATAGTTGAATATTGTTTGACATTACACTTGGATCTTGTAATACTTAATTTCATTAATGTCTTGCATATGTATCGGATGTAAAATATGGATTGTGCACATCTTTAAGAAGGCTAAAGGGTTTAATTCTAAACTCTGAATGTTAGAACCGAGCAAATGGAGTTCTCAGGTCTAGTTTAATGGGAGAACCGGCCTTTAAAATTGTAAAGAGACACGTAAAAACAGTTAACTGTTTAAATATATAAATGAAATAGAATTGCAATATATATAAATGAAGTAGAAACTTTTAAAATTGTACCGTGTTTCATACTGTGATATGACAACCTGCCTTTGCTTCTAGGTGGCTTATTTGTTACTGTTTTTGCAAGCTGCTTTTTGGTTGTAGCATTAATCAACACAGCAGCTGATGTGGTGCTTTACAAATTCAAAGCTTTGTACAAACCTTGACCTTTATGACAAATCACCAGAGCTGGAATTAGAATTTGATAGTTTCCAGCTTCCAGATCTGTGCTTGCCCCATATTACTTCTCAATAATTTAATTATGTGTTATTAAATTATAGAGTGCAATAACATGTAAATCACCACAAAAAGTGAGTGTTATCAAGCAGAAGGAGACATTTCCTTTGTCATAAGGAGTACTGATGTTCTGGTACATGTTCCAAAAATGATTTTTGCCTAGAGACATAAATAATCCACCATGGACAACAGTCACTGGAAATATCAAAACAAGATTACAAAAGAGGTAAAACAGAAGGATCTCTGTGCTGTAAAGTGTCCCCAGCAGACTATTCTATATAAGTCTTGAATTATAAACATTGGCAGGGCTCGACAAACCGTGGCGAAATCTACTTGCCAGCCCCGCACTGCGCATGCGCGCACCACCAGTGAACAGGGCGACCGGCTGAAATCCACTCGCCACAGGCGAGTAGATAAATGGATTTGTCGAGCCCTGAACATTGGAAAAATTAAGAGGCCCTTTCCTTTTGGGGGTATGTGTAGTATGGTAAGGACAGGTGATACAGCAGGCTGACTAACTTATCTGGAGACGGGGCAGGGACACACACATTCCCCATTCCTCCCAAGCCCTGCTGCTGCTTTACCTCCTTGCCCAGAGTCCTCTTCCCTGACTGACACAACTCAGTGGATTATCGGGGGCCTGGTGCGGAATGGCATTGCAGGTCCGGTGTCACCTGCACTCACCACATCACCCATGGGAACCAGAGTAACCCAGCAGCCTGCTCCGCTCCACTCCACTCCATCCCCTTTTCCAGCCTAATGTGCTCCGCTTCACTGTGGTGGCAAGAAGCCAAATGCAACAGGCTGGGAGATGGATGGTAGAGTGGAGCAAGCTGCTGATTTGCTCCGGTTCCTGCCATCATGGTCGTGGAGGGGGACCAACACCTGCTACCTCCCTGCATCAGACCTCCCAGGTAATCACTTGGGCTCCGCAGGTCCTGTCCATGGGATGGCTGAGGCGGTCACTGGACCCCCAAAGAGCAGCCTTTGACCGCAACCAGCACCACCGTGGACAGAGGCTGCTTTGTGGCAGCATCCCCTGTCGCAGGAGGGTCCCAGCCACCTGCAGACAGGGTCTGCTGCTGGAGCAGCCTCTGTCTGTGGCCAGCCTTGGCCACCGCAGATAGAGGTTGCTTTGGGGTAGCCTCCGTCACCAGCAGCAGCATAGGCGTGCGCAGGACATTTCATTAGGGTGTGCACCCAAAGAATTTTTCTAAAATGTACTCTTTGACCCCCATTAGCCACACCCGCTTACCCCCATTAGCCGTGCCTCTGGAGGTAATACTTTTGGGGCAATATGGACACATGACCAGAGATAAAAGGTGTCATGTGACACACACACACACCCAAGGACTTTTCCTACCATCCTCTTACCAATAGGGATTAGTTTGGCCCTCATCAACCCCTGGCCCTCATCAACCCCTTCCCCTCATGCAACTATCCTGCAATTGCATTAACCTAATGTGTGTGACATTAACTCGGGGTGGAGAGGCTGGGGGAAGTGTTTCCTCCAATGAGCACAATACATTTTGTGTTGTGCACCAGTACTGAGTTTGTGGCTTGTTAGGATGTGCTACTGTGGCACCCAAGTTATTAATAAGTATTTATGAACCTCTACCTTTTCTCTCAGCTGCCCTGTCTCCTCCCCTTGCTCCATCAGCTCCCCTGGTGCCTTCTGCCCCCCCAATGCGTCACCTACCTCTGCTGTCCTAACTCCTGCCCTTCTCACTGCCCTCAGCCTTCCTGAGACCTACCCCCCTCCACCAGCCCTTCTCTCCCCTCCTGTGCCCATTCCTCCAGGAGCCCCATTCTGATCATGTGAACTACCCCTCCTCTTCCCCTCTCCTAACACCTCCCACTACATCTGCCCTGCCTCTCTCCTCTGGTGCTGGTCCTTCCCCTGCAGGTGTCTGCCCTTCTGCTTCACCCCCAGAATCCGCTGGCACCTGCACCTTACCTTACCCCTGCACCCTCCTGGTGCTTCCCCCTCTTTTTCCCTGATGCTCAGCACCCTCTGCCCCCATTCCTCTCATGCCCCAGTACCCTCACACATGCCTTGCTCCATCCCTGCCTTCCTCATGCCCACCCCTTCTTTCAAGCCTTCTCCCAGCACCTCCCTTTCTCCCCTCTAGCCCCCCAAACCCTTCCCCTCTCTTCTCCCAGCATCAGCCTGTCCCCCCTCTCACTGACACTTCCCCTCCTGCCCTTTTCCTCATTGTCTCCACTTGGTCCCCGGGCATTTGTCTCTCTCCTTCACCCTGTCCCTTGGTGCCTTCCCCTTTGTTCTCCTGACCTGCCCCCTCCCCACAGTACAAGCCCCTTCCTCTCCCAACCCTTCCCCTATTTTTCACCCCCACCTTCTACCTTCCAGTTTCAGTCAGATCAGGCCCAGCCCCAGCTGCTTCTGTGACCCCAGACCACATGCCGGGCCTGGAGCTGGGCCATGCAGTTTTAAAATGTAAAGTCCCAGGCCGTGACATCACAGCATGCTGGGCATCTCCCCTCAGCTGCTGCACGGGCATTTGAACATGCCAGGCATGAGCTCCCTCGGATGTCTTGCAAACCTGGCTTCTCCCCTCTCAGCTTTTACGCCGAGGGGGTGTGAGACGATTAGAGGGAGCGCATGCCTCCGCGCAACAGCTGAGGGGAGACACTGGCTGGCAAGACATCCAAGGGAGCGCGGCAAACACACCACGCAACAGCTGAGAGGGGAGACGTGGGCACCGCACTGGGGACCCCTGCTCTAGAGACACACCGATGTGTAATGATTGCCATAGCACTCTGCAGCTGAATGGGGGTCCATTCTTACTCTGCTATGGCGTCCTTTGGACACACTTGATCAGGGGTGGAGGGACTGGACGGGGGAGGGGGGCTGGCCAGGAGAAATGGGGGGCGGGAAGCAGAGCTGGTGGGGCTCTGCTATGGTCTGCACAGATAATATGGGGGGGGAGGTGTGAAAAGACTGCCATTCCTTTCAAGCAGGGGGGAGAGGAAGATGAGTGCACACTGGAAGACTGACAAAATGTTCTACACGTATCTATAACCACTTGCTGCACTGCTCTTGTCCCATAAGACACTGAGAGACTAACTCAGAATGCAAAGGGGTAGCAGGAATTGTGGGACAGTGCACCACTGTCCAAGTCGATGGTAGCCACCTTCTAGAAATGCACAACATCAAACTCTTGCACACAGTGGGGACATGCACCTTCAACTTTACTTTTTTTTTTTTTTTTAAAGCACCAAAGACTAATAGATTTGACCTAATCTTGCAGTGTAGACATAGCCTGTGGAATGCATTCTTTTCTCATTTAACATAGGTACCATGTCAGTGAAGTTAAGCATGCTCACTATAGGCTAAAACAGCAGGAAGACAGAATATTGTTGTTTATTCTCTTTTGGGAGAAAGATTGAGGCAATTACAATTTGTCACTAGATTCATCAGATGGGTTCTTAAATCATTTTAAACACTCACTCATTCTCTAAACTGCTTCAACAGCAAAGCTTAATTGCTAGCCTAGAGAGACACTGTGCATCATGATGAGAGATACTTAGTTAACTTCAACACTTTTTGGTCTGAATAAGAGCTAGAACATGGTGTTTTAGAATTCTCTGTTTCCTGCAGATTTTAAGTATAATCTTCTCATTTTATAGTGTAACTTGGTACTTCAGGAGTATGTGCACACTGCATCAAGATTTTCATGCTGCTTTTCACAATCAAAGGGCACAGAACACTAATATTCACTTTAATGAAGTGGAAAAAACAAGTGCCTTCTAGAGACTCCGACTGGACTCTGCAGTTTGAGAACTGGCTTACCACAGTGAATCAAAATGAACTCTAGCTCATGACAGCCCAATGCTACAGCCTTCAGAAGAGTGTGCATTAAACCAACCTGAAATCAGCTCAGTTAATCATCCAAGGAACACAGACATCCAGTAATTCACTTCTACGCCACACAGTAAGTCAGATGTCCTGCCTTAAGCCAGTTGAAAATAGAAGGGCACAGAAATGCAAGCAGACAGCAGAACATTTCCATACCTTAAATCCTTGCTAACACACTACACCCCATATTCTTCATATTGATGATACAGTTATGATGTTATGATGTATTTTATGCAAGATAGGTCTTATGAGAGATCATTAAAAAGTAAGGTTGCCAGGTGTCTGGTTTTTGCCCGGACAGTGCATTTTTTCTGGCCCCTGTCCAGTTAAAAAAAAAAAAAAAAAGAGAGAGAGAAAATACCGGACATGTAGTATGTCTAGAATTTTCTGTTTCTCTCGGATGGAAGGCCAGCAGGGACAATCTTCTCCGCCATGTCTGGTGTGGGAAAGCGAGGAGCGCAGGGATTCTTAAAGGCGCAGCATTTTTTGTCCTTCGCTCGACAACATGTGTTTTTTTATCCCCCGCACTCAACAAGTCTGGGCTCCTGGTTTGTTTGGTTTTTTTTGCCATGTTCATGATTTTTGGTGAAAGCATCTGGAAAGCCTATTAAAAAGGTTATGGTTTGCTGGATATGATTATCCTATTTGTATGCATTTATCTTTTTTTAAATCTGAAATTAGGAATATTGACTATGTAGCTGTATTTCAAATGTGCTTTATGCTTAGGAAAGCCTACCAGACAAGATGCTTTCATTCTAAATAGCTGGGTGAGGAAGGGCCATTAGAGGGAACAAACAGGCCTCATATGAAGCTTATGTCACACACTGCAGACAGCCTCTAATGGCTGCTGTGACATGTGACTAGATCACCTGGCACTGGACTCTTGGGAGGTCAGTATTTTCCTGCTGGTCTTGGCCTGAACAAAGACTTGAATGGTTAACAAATTATAAAAACTGTATTCCTTACATTCAACACCCTATCGACAACAAAAGGTAAGTATGGGACACTTCCAGCCCACACTAATCACCTTATTAACATCCCAACTACAATGGATAGAAACTTTTCCTCTCCCCCTTATTCTGAGGGTCCCCTTTTATTTCCTCCACTCTAGATCATCTCATGTGAAGAAGGTTTTGCCTGTGAAAGCTCAACTCTCTATATAAAAAAGTGTTCCTGCTGTATGACAGAATGACATTATCATGCTCTCACTCTCTGGCCGTAGCAAGCACGGGGTGCAGCCTACTAATAATTATACACATATAGAGATAAATATTTGTTAGTCTAAGGTGCCACAGGGCTACTTGTTTTCCCCCTTCCTCCCCCCAAAGTTCAGACTAATACTGATACCCCTCAGACTTCTGCAGTAAGGAGCAGTTTGAAGGGTTGGGGATTAAAATGTATTCTACCATGAGCATCAATTCAGTGCGAGTATTCTCGATCTTTTAGCAATGCATGTTTTTTAAAGTCAGGAGATAGTGTTTTCAAATTACCTTGAATTAGACAGAGTTCTGACAAACCCTAGCAAAATGTTTTCCATTTAACTTAATCCTACATCACCACAAAAGCATTTCAGAAACATGCTTGGATAAACTCTAAAACGCCCCTTCCCTCCCCGCCCATGAACCTAGACCCTATGGCAATTTGGCACATTAGAAATTCAAATGGGGCCGGCTGGGCGCCAGACTGAAGCCTGGTGGCAGAGGGGGTAATGGCTGGGAGGTGGGGCGCGATCGGCACTAGGAGCCTCGAGTTAAGTCTGATGTCTTGGGGAGGAGGAGAAGCCCTGTCCCTGAGCATGTTGTGGAGCTACTGCTGGTAGGGGCTGTGCAAACTTGGGTCTTTCTTGAATGCTGCTTCTATGCCCATCGATTGCTTCTCTTGTCAATTTGGACAGTCCACTCTTTGGAACGGTCACATATTTATTTGCATAGCACAAAAAGCCTGTTCTGAGCTTGGGCCTCTAGTCACCCTGCTTTGCATTGTTTGTTGCCTGTACTTCCCTACATGTGCAGTATTTACTCCCTTAGACTCTCTTATCATGGAGGGCTCTTTTTCTGTGTTCCCACAAGAGCACAGGAGGACCCACCTAAGCTAGCTTTCCTGCCTCGGTGGTGAATTGATCATTCCTGAGAGAGGACAAGCTCTGGTGCATAAGCCATCCTGACCCAACGGCCGGCATCTCTAGCAGATCTTGCTTGCTCATACGATGAGCAAACCAACTTCCTGATTGCATTAGATTCCTCAGAGCAGCTCTGGCTTAGAGAGCCCTGGTAGACAAGACGACAGGGAAGACTGTACCTGAGTGTGGCCAGGCCAGACTTAGAGCAAGAGACCAGTCAGAAAAGCTGAGAGTCCATTTCTTTCCCCACCTCCCACCCCATACACCAGCTGCGCTGCTCCTGAGCCAAGCTGAGCCAACCCCTGGGCTAGCCGCACTGCTCCCGATTTCCTGCCCGGGGCACACCCCCCACCTTCCTGCCTGGGATTTAAACTTGCCTCGCCCACCGGGGAGGCGGGGTGACATTGCTGCTCCCTGCTGCCTGTTTCTGTGGGGTCCTAAGAACCGCCAGTTTTGGCTGCGCATGCGTGGCAAACCCAGCGCACCAGGGCGGCCCTTTGAAACATTAGGGTGTGCCTGGGCACACCCCGCATACCCTGTGCGCATGCCTATGAGCAGCAGTCTCTGTTCTGCAGTAAGCTAGGACAAGGATTGCTGCCACCCTGCACTGCTGCTTCTGCATCAGAGGGAGCAACGTGGAGTGGGAGGTAGCCAGTCCATGAGGGGAACTGGTTTTTGGACTGGCCCCTGCCTGGCACCCTGCACTGCTGCCTCTGGCTGCCGGCTCCACCTCTGGCACTGTCAACTAATCGCTAAGAATTCACGCAGTTTAGATGATTATTCAGTTAACCGATAACATCCTACATGCTGCAGTGAGAGGGGGCTGGTGGTCCTCTCTCATCACCTCAGCCCTGAGACGCCCTGAGACGCCCGTACCCCAAACTCTTCAACTTGAGCCACACTCCAAATTGGAGTAATAATCCCCCCCACACCTATACCACAAATCTCTGCCTGGCCCCACCCAGACGGTCTCACACCCGCCACACAACACTTCAATGTAGGGTGTTGAGTATTGTAAACTAAGTAATCAAATAGTCAATGGAATTTCCATTGATTAGTCAATAGAGGGGGATGCTTCCGCTGAGGCTCTGCACTTTAAATGTAGTAAGCACTTTAAATGCTCCTGGTTGGCTCTTGCTACATTTAAAGTGCAGAGCTGCAGCAGTCCCAGCTCGAGCCACCCCCAGCACTGCTGTGGCTCTGCCTCCCTCCTCTCTCCTCCTCCCTCCTCCTCCCCCCGCTGCCTCTGATAGAGGCAGTGCGTGGGGGAGCAACTAGTCGAGTAGTCACTTACATCTGTACTTCAAACCCCTCAGCTTTACCCCCAGCACATCATTCATCTATAGAATTAATTTTGTTATGTGCATCAATATGGAAAGGATGTGTGATAGATCACCTCTGTATTGGTGCACATAAAAAAAATCATCATATTAGGGATGTGAATGTTGAACTGATAGGCATCACCCTTAATAGGTGATGCTTACTAATTATTTTTAACCAGCAACCGGTTGGGGTGGAGTGGTCTGCTGCCCGCCCCTGTTTAAGTGGTTAATTGGTTAAAGGTAATGTTTAAGCAGTTAACTGACTAAACAGGTTTTTACATCCTGACATTCCACATGTAGACATAAAAAATTAGAACACTGGTATACTTTGATGCTGTTTCACTTTGCCTTTGCTGCAAAAAACTTTATGCCCCTCATTGAGAGAGGTTTATTTTTGTTGGCAACCAAAAGTATTTTTGTTGCTACCAAAAGTTGCTTTGTAGTGTGTACACCTTCTCCTATTTTGTCATCCACAAACTGCTTTTGCAAACAAAACTTTGTAATGTAGACAAGACCTCCGCATTGTGGGAAATCAGAGTTAATGGGACTATTGCTTTGAGTATTTCACAGATAGATTACTTGAGGTAAAGGTTTAAATGCTAGTTGCACAGCATAAATATCCATTCTGAGTAGCTGCTTAACAAAAGACTGGATGTGCTTCCTGGTGTGTAGTCCCTCTTTGTTGGTCAGAAGTTTTGATGTAAAGCAGTGTAAAAGTAGTCTTGGTCTTGTTTTTTACATTTCACAGATAACATCGATGTTTAAACATTTTCTTGTTTTGATCTATCCCATTTTGAACAATTACACAACAGTATGGATTTGAAGGTTCTTTTATGTTTATTAATTTAAATGTAGAATAGCAGAAAATTACGGGCAAGTGAGGGATAGCTATTTAATGATAGATATCCTTAAATCAAATTATAGTAAGTTCTCATATATCATTATTTGTACCTGGCCTATCTTTACATTTCAATTATCAGTGAAAATATTGTGTGTGTGTGTGTGTGTAATGTAATCAGTGTTTACTAACATTTACTGATAAAATTGAATTCTTCCAAATTGCAAGTAAGACATGAACCCTCAGGACAAATTCCCATCCTTAGTGCAGTACCAAATAGTATTATTATCCCTCAACTGCCCCATCATTCAGAGTGTATAGTGTAAAAAGAAATTTCAAACTTGAACACTCTAGATATTGTAATGAAACTTCGGCCTCAATGAAAGTTTCATCTTTTCTTCCTCATTTAGTTCAGGGCTGCATCATATTTAAAACCTTTATCTGCAAAAATAAATCATCAATGCCTTTCCTCTTTTTTAGAAAAAAAATTAACACAATCCTGTATTTCAGATGAGTTTGGTGCTCTTGAGAGTGTGAAGGCTGCTAGTGAACTCTACTCTCCTCTCACAGGAGAAGTAACTGAAATTAACACCGCCCTTGCAGATAATCCAGGACTCGTCAATAAATCTTGTTATGAAGATGGTAAGAAGCCATAGTTTCACATTTAAGGAGTAAACAACACTTCTGTGATCAAGACCCAGATGCTGTCTCTATTACACGCCAATCTTCTGTTGTCCGTATCTCCAGTTTAATTATGGAAGAATATGGCCTGGTCTACACTACAGTTAGATTGATATAAAGCAGGGGTCTCCAAACTTTTCAGCCCGAGGGCCGCATTAACTATCAAACAGCAGTTCGGGGGCCGACTACACATTTATGTCGATGTAGTTAGGGGGACATAAGCCCTAAGCATGGAATGGAATACTTACATCAGTTTCTAGCTGTCATTCTCAGTTTCATAGCTTCCTGCTGCATATTTACATTTGACCAGAAAGGTTGGAAAGCTTTTCACTGTGAACCTGGTGCCCAGGCTCAGGCTGTCACCCCAGGGTGGGTGGAGGTCTACAGATAAAGCTTGGGATGCTCTCCCCCACAAGGACCGGGGAGCCAGAAGTCTGAGCTGGGAGGAGTAGGGTGGGGAAAGGGGACAGCCAGGCTCCTGGCAGGGAGCTCTGCATGAAGTTAAGAGTCCATGTTGCAACTTGGCTTCCAGCTGGGAGCTGAGCGCCTTGGGCTCCCTGCAGGGGCAGGGCTGAGAGGCTGGAAAACAGTTGAGCTTCCAACAGAGAGCTCCTTAGCGCTGAGAGCCTGGGCTACACCTACACACACACACACACACACACCCCTTACCTTTTCTCTCCCTTCCCCCCCACATACCCATATCCTCAGAAATGCTTCTGGTGAGCACGCATACCACCAACAGGAGGGTAGCATGGACATGAACAACTGCAGTATTCTCTGAAATGGCTGTAAGCCAACCTAACATAGGTCTACTTAAGTTTGTAGTGTAGACATGTCTCACATCTCTGAGCATCTTCCAGCTCCAATACACCCTATAGTATGAAGTTTAACATTTTAGTCCTATCTTTGCTAGGGAGCTGATTTGTTGCTTATAACTTCCAGCAATGTTCAGTACTAACTATACTGAGATTGCTATTTAAGAGGTGGTTTAAATTCAAAGGAAGAATGTATTTTGAGTGGTTATATTTCCTTCTTTAAGCATAACCGATATTAAGCACCTGCAAATTGTTTTGCCCCTACTAGATGACCAAGTCCTTGTGTCTACTCCAATTTTAAGGAGCTGTAGGTAAATGGAGGGTGAATTTTAAAAAAGGATTTCCTTAATGTTTGGATTTAGATACATTTATTGAATGGGTCCAGTTAATTTTTTTTTTAAATGTAATTTAATTTTTTATTTACAGGTTGGCTTATCAAGATGACTGTGGACAACCCCTCAGAACTTAATGAACTGATGAATGAGGACGCATATGAGAAATACATAAAATCCATTGAGGACTGACATGAAACGCTAGAATAAACCACTAAAAATATTTACTTCAGCGTAGTTTGTCATAGATTAGTGGTGTACAGAAGGTTTGACATTGGGCAGCTTGAAAAAAATTGCATATTCCAGAAAGTTTGGATAACATTTCAAGACAAATATGCTGCCTCTGAATCATGTTGTACTAAAAAGCAACCCTGTGACAATAAGAGATTGCAGATGGGGAAAAATTGCTTAACGTTTGCTCCCCTTTGTTAGTGATTTTTTTTTTTTAGTTTACTAAACTTAATGATATCATTTTCAAAGTTTGGAATGTCATCTGGAGTAAAACAAATTTAGTTCTTAAAAATACACACAGTGTTGCAGCACTGTAACATGCAACAGCCTTAGCAGCAGCATGGTAACTGTGTTAGCTGTCCAAATACATTTATATAGCTTAACTGGCTGTTGTAAAACAAAAGCTGCATCATGTTTCAGGTGTACACAGCAATTTTTAGCTGAAATCTGCTCTGGCTGTAGCTATTTTCTACAGATAAAGCTACAGCCTTGCAGCAGACTAGATAACAGAAAATAAAAAAACCTGACTTTACCAAGTACGTTTCCTGGTATTTTATATTCCATAGCCCATTTTGCGTATTTATATAAAATTTGCATCCTGTTTGGAAAATGCAGTATTAACCTACTACTTGTACAAACTTGGGACTCAAAATACATTTAACCTTTCAGAGACTCTGGATCTATATACTCTAATTTTGCATTGGCATGCTAGAATGACTAATATCTTGTTTTAACACATGCACGATATCATGCCTTTCTCAGCCAAAACCATGATGGGTTCATTGATGTGAAGAGGATCTGAAGTTTCAGTAAGAGGCCAGCTGTGTCTATTATTTATACAACTCAAGGATAAATCTAAAGTACTTCTAAAAAATTGATTTAGGACTAGAAGGGGGATGGAATAGATACTCTTGTTGAAAAACTTAATTTGGGAGATGAGAGAGGATATAACCACAATTTGATTGAGGGAAGTTATCTGTATACTTTGCTCTTCCTATGAGTTCTAGTGCTATTTGGATTTCATTTTTCCCCTTCTAACCCAGGTGCAGAGAGAGATTGAATTTTAACATATTTTTTAAGAAAAGTAAATAATGCCATCAGCTGATGGTTAGGAAACAGCAGGTTTTACTCATTCTTTAACATGACCCAGTGAGGAAATAGTTTCAGTGATTGTATGTGAATGTTGAGGATCATATATGACTTCTTTTGTAGGGAAGGAAAGCCACCTGCAGACTACCAAAATGTCAAGCTTTCAGATACTGGATAGTGGGTGTTATCATAAAAGGAATTAGTAATTTTTTAAAATGTATTCTAATCACAATAGACTACTTGTAGTCAGTGCTGCAAGATGTTTGAGAACTGTGTTGTGCAGCCTGAGCCAAATAGAAGTAGGCAATGAAACATAGTATGTGCCCTACAAGTGTTAATTTGCATTGTCAAACTATTCTGAGGGGAATTGAGAGGGTTTTCTTTGGACTGTACTACTGCTCTTGTTCCTGAAATTCTGCAGGAAAGTCCTTCCATTATGTAATCAGTCTCTTTTTGTTCATACTTCAGTGCCCCTCATGAATGGTGTTGACTGTGAAATCTTTTATGTCTGACTTTCATACCCTTTTAGCTATAGAAAATAGTAGCCCAGTGTGCTGAAAAGCATGCGATGGACTAAGAGCTGAGGATTGTTTTAGGAGGCTGGATTTAAAATTCTATACTTAAAACCTTTTAAGGTGATCACAGATACCAAAAAGCAACTTTCCTGATTTTTTACTACAACAGCAGCAGCACATCTTAGTATAAAATAAAGACGTTTAAGACAAGGGACCCTATTACAGACAGAGAGAGAATCCACATGATCTGTATTTTTCCATACCTCAAACTGCATCTTATAAGGACTGTTGCTCTTTCTTCTAGATTGGTAATGACTTAATAGAAAATTCTGTCCAAGTGTCATACCTTTGAAATAGTTACACTGTGACACAGATCTGAGGTAGTCCTATTCATGTATGGACTATATGGAAAATTGTATGATCAATGCCCTGCTTCTGTGTAAATACGCTTGAAAGAGATTGTAGCTGGTGAACTATTTCATAGTTTAATCCTAATTTACCGTGGATTTTTAAAGCCTTCTCACTTTCTTTTCAGCCTAAATTGCAGACAGATTTATCTAATGGCTTGATCACATATCTGGGACTAAGGCAGTCTATATTCTCATCCTAGCTTCTTGGCTGACTCTGTGACCCTGGGTAACTCACTTAATTTTTAGGTTTCAATCTCACCATTGCTAAAATGGCCTTACGTACAAGGGTGTTATGAGGATAAATTAATTAATATTGTCAAAGTGCTTTAAAAATGAAAAAATCCATTGTGCAAATACAAAGTATAACAGTTGGCTCACAGTGGGCCTACCTGGTTGCTAACCAGAATCCACAATTGACATATCACATGTACTAATGAAAGGTTTTAATTAGCATAAAAGTTGAAGGCAGAGAGGAAGAACAGAATAAAGTAATTCTGAAATATGACTAATCAGGAATTACTAATGGGAAGGAAATATGTTTTGGGATCAAAGTTTCCCATCTGCTGTCTCGGAAGGAGCAAGTTAGTATGGCCTGTAACTATAAAAATCTCAAGTTGTGAAGTGTTCTATTATAGGTCGCTCTAGTTTACTTAGAAAACAATAAAAACAAATTGCATTCAGTACTCTATAGCCAAAGTCTATATATATTATAATACTAGGCATTAGTATCTGTAAATTCAGAGATGGGAAAGACCCTTTAAATTGTCCAGATTATCTTGCTGCCCATACAATATGTCCATTGTCTTGTCTAGGTTAAGATTATATAAATCCAGAGAACCCAACACTTCTTAGGAACACTATCTTATATTCCAAAATGGCTTTATTTATTGGAAATGTATGGCCAAAATAGACATTTATGCCATTGGCCAAGTACATGATTAGATCATGGCAATATTGCTGGTATTTGGTTGAAACCTGTGCCTTGGACTATGTAAGCAGTATTCAGGTCTGACTGGGTTTCTTGCTTGTCTGGAAATAAGAATCCATGGCCAATGAGACAGATCTCTCCAGGCTAACTTTTTGAAAAACTTATATAGACTTGTCTAAGTAAAGTAGGCTTCGTAAGGCACTGTTCTTGAATTTAATGTGAGGTAGGGAGATTTTATCAGCAACAAACTGATTTTTTTTATGCCTTATAATTCTTTAAAAGAAAGAAAATTATATATATTCAACTCTTGACCATATCTTTGACTGTCCCACTAGAAAACATTATACAGCCTGTCCCCGAGTTGCAAACGGTCAAGTTACAACCGTTCGCATTTACGACCAAAGCTCCCATGGAGCGGTCGTAAAGGCGGTCCCCGAATTACAAACGCGACCTGCACTTACGAACAGTGCAGTGGCTACGTAACTCAATGGGATCCGAGTTATGGAGATCGAGTTACGGCCAAGTGTTTGGTTCCTAACTCAGGGAGAGGCTGTAGTGATTTTTTTACTCTGCATTATATGATCAATAGGGGAAAAAACTATTATTCACACATTTGGACTAATGCTAGATTTAAGATATAATTCTCCTGTTGAAGTCTAGGAATTTACCATTTACATCACTGGAAACAAGATCAGGCTCATATTCTGTACATCAGCTTTCCCTGAAATGTTCCCTGTCATTCCCAAGAAAGTTCTCTGAGGAACAACAAATTAACAAGCTCTTGGGAGGCTATCTTGAATATAGTTTGTTGCACACTCATTTATTTGGGCTCCATGATGAACCAAACCCCCTTTTAACTGCATTACGTAATAATTCCAATAATTATACCCCTTTGTATTTTTGTGTCACTGTTTTGCTCTTTGTTATGAGAAATTCACAGCATAGCATAGTTTTCCTAACAGTTTCTAAAAACATAGAGGCTACATCTACGCTGGCCAGTCTTGTGCAAAAACATATGCAAATGAGGCACAGGATGAATATTTCTGCCTCGTTTGCATACCTAATGAGCTGCCATTTTTGCACAAGGGGCTTTTGTGCAAGGAGCAGCAGTCTACACTGCTCCTTCTTGCACAAAAACCCTCTGTTGCTCAAGAGCTGTTCTGCCACTTTCAGGGGGTTTTGCCTGAAAGCAGCAGAATGCCCCTTGCACAAAAATGGCAGCTCATTAGGCATGCAAATGAGGCACGGTGATATTCATCACCGTGCCTCATTTGCATATGTTCTTGCGCAAGTCTGGCCAGTGTAGACACACACCCTATACAATCTTGCTATGTTTTGAATATACACATTTCTATCTTCCTGTTACAAACCAAAGAAGCAAACTATTGCTTAACTACAACAATAGCTTTAGAACAGTAGGTGCTCTTGCACGGAACATAATCAGCAATACAGGCAGTCCCCAGGTTACATGGATATGACTTACATTGGATCCCTACTTATAAACGGGGTGAGGCAACCCCGCACTAGCTGCTTCCCCCCAGCAGACCAGGGAGACGCGGAGCGGCTTTTCTCAGCAGACACCTCAACTTGAGAATAAAGGACTGAGGGAAGTGAGGTGTGGGAAAATAAAACTGAGCTCTGGAGAAATGTTTGGCTAGAGTTTCCCCTACAAGATGTACCAGTTCCGACTTACATACAAATTCAACTTAAGAACAAACCTACAGTCCCTATCTTGTACGTAACCCGGGGACTTCCTGTACTTAGGCCCATTGTGCTGAGTCAAAGTATAACAACCATATATGCACCAGCACATGACAACATGAATGAAAGTTAAGTTTTCATTTCCCAAACTTGTGATCAAAGCAAATCAATTCTGCTAGCTCAGAAACTAGAGGGAATTCAGGCACATACATATACATCTTCAGAAGGGTAGCTAAGTTAGCTGGTAACTGGAAAAAAAAATTAAAAATAACAAATAGTCTTACAGCATCTTCGAAACTGACACACATATGGTATCATAAACAAATAAATCTGACATATCCACTAGAGGGCAATAGTGATTTATACACAAGCCAGTAGATTATGAAAAGATAGTTGGTTTGCAGCCACAAAGCTATAAAACCTGTTTATTCTAAAGCTTCCTTTGGTACTTTAAAATAGTGCTTTGAAAATAAAAATAAACAAAAGGACAACTTTCACTGGTGGAAGGTGACATAAAAGCCTTATTTATTATAAAGGCAAAATTCCAGTTATTTTCCTTTGAGTCATTTTAAAAATCCCAGCCCTTCTGTGGGTGATAAAATAAGACAGTCTAGCCAGAAGGCTAATATGAATACTTAAATGACATCTCCCACAAAAACTGCCATATAGGAAAAGGTACATGTATTTTTCTCTTTAAAAAATCTCAGCATTTAAACCTGGCCAGCAGAGCCTAGTTCAGCTCCAGTAGTGCATGGGGAAGCCAGTATTTGGTAACTCTTCCAGCAGTCGATGTACAATTTTGCCCTTTTTATTCATAGATTCTCCACTGGAAAATAGAGATGACTGGACCATCAAGTTCCTGTGACCTTATTAATGCATGGTTGCCATGTAGA